TGTAAGAAATCATTTTCAAGTAGTGAATGAACATTTCAACATTTTTTGCACATTCTTTGAACGAATATGAGACTGCTAATAACTTGATAACGGCTAGTCCGATTTCCCAAAAAAAAGTTTCGGATAGAGAATTGAATTAACTATCAAGCGAGACCTCCCTTTCCATTTGAAGACCCCCTCTTTTCATTTGGAAAAAAATATTCTCTCTTAGATTTTTAATTTTTTTTCGACCTTGATATCTTATTCCGTTCAGAAGTTTAGATGGGGGGCTATTTGCGACCGAACTGTATATTTTTATCATTCAATCCAATGTAATTTCATAAACCCTTGTATTTTCCAATAAACGTACTAGCGAAACCGAAACGACACAACATCCACTAACAAACTCATCACTGCTGGATCATCAATCGGCATCATCTGCGCCAATCCTATTTCTATCAAGAAGATTACCTACCCATTACATAAATTGTCGAATAAATAGCAAACGGCGAAAGCTTTCAAAAGCTCTCCAAAGCTACCTCGGAAAACGCACGTGCATTGTGCTTTCGTCTGGCCGTTCGACCTCGAAACGTCATTGACAGCGACAGTGCAAAAATAGCAGTACAGGGGCGCATACATACGGAAGGAGATGAGAAGGGTTTCAATTGTTCTGTAGCTCTTGTGTAATAGTTATGAGAAATATAGAAATAGGGAGAAGATATAAATATTGTAACGAGATTAGTTGGTATGATTGCTCTGGACGCAGAAAATCATGAAGTCCAAATGCTACATACATAATAATACAAAGCTTTACAGTTCCTGAACAGAACGAGAAAAAACATGCAATATTGCTGCACTGCAAAAAATGTGAGTAACACCAATCTAGTAAGAAGAGGGAAAGTTAATCCTCTATATCTTGAATGAAGAATTATAACATACATCCAGGAAGCCCAAGATATCTTGGACTTTAACGGTGTTAATCAAGTTCCTAAAAGACCATTTCTTGCCCAGATAGTATACTATACATAATGATTCAACTTAATGATAAAGAAAAAGTACAAGTATCCCAGAGTAAAGAAAAAGGTCCACTAAAAGAAAATGAGAAAACTCAATCAATAGATTTAAATTCCCACACACTAGAACTAGGGAACTAGAACACCAATATCTTACCAAAGTCACTGAAGAACTGATCCAGAAGATCAACAAAATGCTGTAGCCAATATTAGGAACCACAAAGGTTAATATTCTGGTACTTTACATCATGTTTTAAGCCAACTCCTTTTTAGTCGGGTGTTCCTCAAAGAGGCGTAGTTAATCTCATACTGTTCCTGTTCTTTGAGAATGAATAATATAAAATCCATAGCAGAGTTGCTGATGATACGGACGTGTATAATGCTATGGTCTGGCCGTTCGATCACGAAACGTCATCGCTAGCGAAAAAATGCAAAGCCAAGTAATTTATTGAAATGAATAGTACTTTGCTATAACATTTAGCCATTTAGAAAAAGTAGCAAACACTTCCGTTAGCATATGTAATGGATTAGGCATGATAATAATGGAAGTAGAGAGTAGAATATTGTTGCGAGACTAGTTAGAAATGGTTGGTGTGATTGCTCTAAACGCAGAAAATCATGAAGGCCAAATGCTACATACACAAAGTTTCACAGTTCTTAAACAGATCAATACTTCAAATATAGTGGAATGAAAAATGAACACGCAATATTGCTGCACTACCAATAAAAATATGTTGAGTTGTCAAAAAAATAGACAACTAGACACCTTCGTCTGAAACGGGTAAAATTCCATGCAGTTCTATTGGGTTACGATATTTGTTTTCGCCAACACTCGGACCGTCAAGCGGCGTTGGAAGCTCTTGGCTCCTACCAAGCAACGTCCAGATTGGTAGCAAATTGCCAAAAACGACTCTCCTCGATAGGAAGGCTTAACAGATTACCTCTGGTGCAGCGAGCAGCTTCATCGCAGAACCTGTCATTGGCATCGCTTTAGGCTTTCCCAAACAAACACTGAACACCTGGATGGAAAGAATCTGGCAGAATCTTCCAGGATTGGCTCCCTCCAAGGCATTCAGCTTGATACCAAACAGTTGTTGGGCTACAGCAGGGATGAACTACGATGTCTATAAGGTCACTGTCATTTGAATCGCAGAGACTCGGACTGTCGGAAGACAGTGTGTGTCGCCTTTGTTTGGAAAATGATGAAACAGCAGAGCATATACTTTGTGCCTGCCCCGCTGGGTACCGAATCAGGTTTTCAGAGTTCGGGAGAGCCGTACTCCTACCATCTAACCTTTAAGACCAATTACCATACAAACTAATCGGCTTCGTTAAGAAGCTGGGTTTATTTGGTCAAGTGTGAATAGGTGTAAGCCACAATAAATCCTTGCGGGTTGCGGTGGAGAGTCGAATAGACCCACTCACTTTGGACCTAACCTAACTCATATTAGAGAAAGGAAAAAATGAACTTGAAAGTTAGTCGGAACAAATGACTACCTTACACGTGAAAATAATTCACATCAATTCTTCTTCAGAAAATATTACACGCGCGCCTCTGAACCAGAACGATGATTATGAGCTATCTCTCCCCAGCCCCGAACATCGGAAAACAGCGAGTAAACAATATTTCAATTGATAGATTTTCAGATCGTTTATTTTCGTCAGAACGACGGGAGGGATATTATATCGATTTTGCCAGGCTGAACAAGAGGTTTGTGTTCCATATAGATAACAAAAGAGTTGAAGTACGAGGGAAGTGAAAATAGTTGGCTGATATAAAGTATCATTGAAAATTTTTGATTTGAACCAGATAATATTTATAATTATTGAATTCATCTATAGAAGTTTTCAATTGATATTATCAAATGCGATGTGGCAACGGTCGCAGTGCCAGAATTGGTACTCCCGTTGTTACGAACGATGATTCTCCATAACAATTTTCCTCACTTCCTCAACATTTGCATCGGTTGTTGATGTGTTAAGGTGTTCAGGGCTAATGTCGTCATTGACCGGCACAGCACAGCATGGCCCGTCCCGTCAAAATACGGATAGGATTGGAACAATGAAAATGAATGGACAACCGAAACAAGAGCTCCGCTCTTATCGCCAAACCACTTTGTTCACATATTTTGTTTTAATTGTACTCTAATATGTATACTTTGTGAATAAAGTTATTATTATTATTATTATTACGCAGTTACCCAGGAAATGACTCAGCATATTAAGCACGGTTCTAAGGTTTTTCCAGAATATTCGATGAAACGCACATCTACATCAGCAGTTCCTGATCATGTAAATATAGGAGAGCATGAGGACGCCTCATTCTTGGTAATACCGCGTTAGTTGAAGTGTTTGTTGTATTTCCAGCGAAATGAAGTTGAGTTTGATTATACAGTGTAGTCAATTATTGGTGAAGCCACGGGGAAAAACGTAACATTTGGTGTCAGAAGTGGGATGCATCCGTGTCCAGTATAAACAAGCCCTCTTCCTTTGGGTACGCCAAGACCGGTGCACTATCAAATGTCTCTTCAGGGCAGCAAATGCTTGCTGGCAGTCTGGAGACCAAACAAAAGGTGTTCTCTTTTCAGTTAAGCTATGCAGAGGTCTGGCGACTTTTCCAAAGTCCTTCACGAAACACTGGTAATAGCTACAGAGTCCATGGAAGCTTCTTACGTCGTGCTTGCTCTTCGGTGCTGGCCATTCTTGCACTACTTCTCGATGTTTGTCTCCGAACACCAAAGAGACTGGGATAAATTGGTTCCTCATTTTCTGTTGGCACACAGGAGCTCCCAACATGACGCGACAGGTTATACACCACCCATGTTGTTAACTGGTACGGAACTGAAGCTTCCGATAGATGTATTGTATGGCAGTCCCTTTGAAGAATCTCAAAAGGTATATGAATGCAGAGTATATGAATGACCTGAAGGAGAGACTGGAAATTGTACACGAATTTGCCAGGACCAAATTACAGCTATCCAGCGACAGAATGAAGATAAGATTCGACAACAAATCACTGCCAGTGAGCTTCAAGAAGGACGATGCAGTGTGGCTCTACCAACCCCAACGTCGGAAAGGTTTGTGTCCCAAGTTGCAGAGACCATGACAAGGACCTTACTTGATAACCAAAAAGATGAACGATCTGGTGTACATAATCCAATTGTCACCCAGAAGCAAGCCTAAAGTTGTCCACATAGAGAGGCGGAGTCCTTACATAGGTCGTCATGTTCCCTCTTGGAATTTTGTTCGGGGCGAACAACCTCAGGGAAGGGGGGAGTGTTGTAAATTATGCCAAACCAAACGTGACGTAGCTGAGAGCGTGGGAATATCCAATGTTACCTGCCGCTCGAGAAAAAGCAAGAAACATGCTACCGATGTCGATAGAACTTCGAAGAAATTCTACGATGTTCCATTGCGATATTTAAACGCTGGCTGCAAGCGTATTCGGCAGTCAAGTACACAGTGAAGTGGACGTAACAGTGCGGTACGCGAAGTGATCTAGTAAGGCGATAGACATTCAAATATTAGTTGAAATTTTTAGTTGAAGTGTTTGTTGAATTTCAAGCGAAATGAAGTTGAGTTTAATTATTCAGTGTAGTCAATTATTAGTGAACCTACGGGGAAAAATATGACAATATAAACATTCCTCTCGAATTACTCTATCTATTAAAAAACCCACATCAAAATCTGTTGCGTAGTTTTAGACGGGTGTTACACGCTCAGTTTGGTATCAGATTAATCCATGACCTTGATCACGAATGAATTGATGACAAACTGATTGACACATGAACGACATACTCTATCATTAATCTGTAATAGACAGTAATATCATACATAGTTATGTCGTTTATGTGTCAATCAGTTTGTCATCAGTTCATTCGTGATCAAAGTTATGGACTGAACTGATGCCAAACTGAGCGTGTAACACCCGTCTTGAAGATATAACCATACGCAGGAACAGACAGCGGAAAGGGACTTTGTTTTATACTATGTACTGGCCAAACTTACCTGAGGTGGTGAATGAGAACTTTTTTGGAGTAAGGCAGATGATCTTGATCTTCTTGGAGTTATGCCTACGTTTTCACCTCGCATGATGGACTCCACCACTGAAACAAAATATTCGTTAGCACCTCAATTGAATTTGTGAACGATAGGTTTTAGTTTCTATAGTGAAGGTTTTCAAAATCATGGATTATATACACAGTAACATTTTTCCTTTCCGCTTAGTGATTCTACATCTGCTCAGTAATAAATTAATAAAGATCTTCAAGCAATCTTTGACACTTCTACAATCCACAAGCTCAAGCTGAAGTTTAATAAACCTGCAATAAAGGACCTGCGAAGAACAAAGAGCTCACCAACTCTACTTTTCAAGTCCGCATCGAAAATGAAATACCTCTCTTCGTGACCGAGATAAAAATATTAGGATTGTGGTTTGATCCAGAACTTCGCTTCTCTGAACATGTCAGCTATTTGAACCAAACTTCTTATAACGTTCTCAGGCAGCTGTCTCCAAATCGTGATTTGCTCAAGACAAACTCAAAACTAAGATTATGCTAGTCACTGATCATGTACAAAATTTCTTATTGCGACAGGTTAATTTCAATATTGTAACTTTTACAGTGCTTGTGAAATTACTATGGATCTTCATCAAGTAACCGCCGAATCAATCAGAAAAAAAAAAGAAAAAAATTGTTTTACACATTTTATGTACCCCCTTTAAGGGGCTGTATCTTAACAAGGGATGCTCCAATGAANAAAATTGTTATACACATTTTATGTACCCCTTTTAAGGGGCTGTACCTTAACAAGGGATGCTCCAATGAAGTTTCTTTATATGAAAGATCCTATCTTTTTTTCGATGAGGAATCACCTTCTCAAATGTTTTACACTTATTCAGTTACACCCTGTATTTTCAACTCAGGTTAGAATTTAGATCACTTCATCACCTTGATAAAAGAACAGAAAATGGTTGAAATGTCCTTAATAAACCCGAAATGAGAGTGACATTGCGCTCCTGGTTTATGAAGTTTCATAAAGAACTCGGATCGAGAGGGAAGAAAAAGAAACGAAAATTAAAATAAGAGACCACTTTGCGGTTTTAGCCCCCACACTAACTGTATTAATAAAACTTTGATGTTATGATGGAAAAACTTCGCAGGAAAATCTATAGGAAAACTTCTTGGAAGTTATAAAAAGTTTCCAACTGGGAAGAAAACTCATTTAAACAGCGTCAAAAGTTTTCCAAGTTCCCGAGGAAACTTTGCCGACAACTTCTGAGGGTAGATGAATATTAAAGAATTGTGATGTTGGTAAAAATGGGGTTCTCAACAAGTCGATCCAACTTTTCAGAAAGATAAAAGTGATTCGGTCCAATTCAATTTGAAACTGATCGAGCATCATATATTTTAATCCTTTTAAAACTTGGGGGGGATTTCTGGATTTTGCGGGTTTGATATCGGAAAGTTCGAAATTGGATGTATTCACTAGTAAAGCAGGTCGAAGATATATGAGTTCACAGAAACGAAGTCATGAAGAGTTGTTGGATTGACAGACGGCTAATTGTTGGATCGACTGGATTGACTGACGGGGCTAATGAGCCCGAAACCGGTCTGCAGTGTGCTCGTTCCAAAATTGAAGGTTGACTCTTTCAGTTGTATTGCCATTTGCACATGCAGGAAATTTTCTGTGAAGATTTCTGCACTGACGCCTGTTGGATATAATCCAATGCTTCTCGTGGTATTAGCCAGGGAAGTGGTTGTTTTCTGATAGGCGTCAGTCCATTCAATCTACTGTGTAGGTATATCCGTGACGGACTTGAACATCAAAAGTTTATTTCTTTAGATTTGTTGGATTGATTTTTATCATTATCAAGTGTGTATTCCCCCGAACGGCGAAACGGAAAATGATATATAGGGTCTTTCCTATTTTGCCAAATCACCATGGTTCAGTAAACGATCGACCAACACCCGTACGTCGGAACGTCAGATCTGCTAAAAACATCGCCGCTGTCTGTGATCGAACGGCGAAACGGAAATTGATATATAGGGTCTTCCCTATTTTGCCAAATCACCATGGTTCAGTAAACGATCGACCAACACCCGTACGTCGGAACGTCAGATCTGCTAAAAACATCGCCGCTGTCTGTGAGAGTATGCAGGAGAATCCAAGGCAGTCGATTTGGTGTCGCTCACAAGAACTTGTTCTTTCGCAGACTAGAACTTGACGAATTTTGCGTTGTGACTTGAGCCTGCGCCCGCACAAAATTCAACTGACCCAGGAACTGACAGTAAACGATCATAGACAACGACGTGTGTTCGCTGAATGGAATCTGGATGGCCTCATCTTCAGCGATGAGGCCAATTTCTGGATGAATGAGTACGTGAACGAACAAAATTGTCAAGTTTGGAACGATCTAAGAGCTTCCAATTTATCTCAAAAAAGTTTGGTGTGGGATTTTGGTCTGGCAACGTCTCGGTCCATATTTCTTTGAGAACGGCGTTGACCAGGCTATCACTGTCAATGGCGAGCACTATAGATTGATGATTACCAACTTCTTTTGGCCTGAATTGTATGATCCGGACACCAACGACATGTGGTTTCAACAGGATGGCGCTACATGCCACACAGCTTATGCCACATTGGATATTTTGCTCTGCACGAGTAATGGGGGTGAACCACCCCTTGATTCTGTGATATTGATAGGTGGTCCAAATTTTACCATTAAGGTGTCGTTTCCCACTGAATCGAGAGTGCTGATGTCGAATCTGATGTTGTTTTTGCCAGCACCATGATACTTTGGACCATTTTAAACGTTTCGACTCACAGCACTCAATTGTTCATCTCCCAGGAATCGAGTTTTAGGGGATGGGGGGGTGAACTACCCCTAAATTATGTGATATTGATGAGTGGTCCGAATTTTGTCATTGAGGTGTCACTTCCCACTGGATCGAGAGTGCTGATAACAAACGAATCTGATGATGTTTTTGCCAGCACCATGATACTCTGTACCATTTCAAACGTTTCAACCCATATCACTCAATTTTTCATCCCTCAGGAATCTAATTTTAGGGAATGGGGGGTGAACTACTCATGAATTCTATGATATTGATGGGAGGTCCGAATTTTGCTATTAAGGTGTCGTTTTCCACTGAATCGAGGGTTCTGATGTCGAATCTGAAGTTGTTTTTCCCCAACTACCGCAAATTTTCAGTTGGCGGATTTGGTAGAAGAATTTTATAATTTTTTTGGAAGTCTGCACATACCTGATTTAAATCTTAGCATTATTTTTGATTGCTAGACCAATTGTAACTCTTTCTGTAACATTGTATGTATTAGATTGTTTCAAAGGTTTGTTCCGTTTTATGTGTTTACTTCAAACTGTCATTTGAATCAGTACACTTTTGCCGAAGTGACCCGAGTCGATTAATTCCGTGAGCATGAAAATTGTGTGCTCGGGTTTCGTTGAAGTTGACGAAGGACATTTTTGCCTAGTCCTGATTGGCGAAAGTTCTATCGGTGAGAACCTTATCGAAGTGCTTGAAAAGAAGGTAGTCGCCAAAATAAGAAGCAACGGCCACTGAATACTAGAGAGAGAGAGAGAGAGATGCCCAAAATCATATGAATCGTCAGGAATCACTTTCTATGAAATTTTTTTATTTCCGTACAATCATTTCTTCAATCGTAGATTTCAAATCTTTCCTTGAAAATTCGTAGTCACTGTAAAATTTCTCCTCATCGTGTAACGTATCTTGAAAAATAAATGGAAAAACAAATTCATCAATTCACTCTTCGTGAGAATTTCAAAAGGCAGGATATGCTAAAAATATAGAAAGGAATTTCATAATTATTTATAGTTTTGGCACGTTGCATAAGCTTCTGTGACTTTGTAGAAATCATAACATTTCTCAGGCGGACAATTATATTTTAGTGCATGCGATATATTATCAACTTTTCCCAAAATATTTGAAAGATGACCACGTTTCATTTAATATTTATTTATTTGAATCATTTCAGAATTCCATTGGAAAGTGCTTGTAAAAATATACTTGAACGAAGTAGAAACTATTTTACAGAAAATTCATGACACAGTGTGACCATTTATCATCTATACTTTTCAGTGGGAAAATTTGAGGAGAACTATATCTATATTTGTATCAGATTGCAAAGAAAGATCAATGAGTGCGATTATTTACTATGAAGCCAAATTTATATCAGAAAGAAAAACTTCAAAAATCGGTCCAACTCAAGAGTCAATAGTGGGACCTATGCTGTTTATATTTGTAGGACGGTTGCCAAAAGATGTGTCTTTTGTAAGTTTATGTACACAGTAAGTATAATTTCTATTTGTATATGCACCACATTTAATGACTCTTCCTAAAAAATATATTGACCAATGGAAAATGAACGCCATTATTTTTATTGCATTTTCAATAAGCGATGAGTTATCGTGCAGGAATTCGGTGAGAGTCTAAAGAAGTTTCCAATCGGGGTGTTTGTACTTTTTTTTAAGACATAATACAAACAATACAGGAAAATCTCGCTCTATGAGCGCGCAAGTAGCGATTACGTTGGATTTGAATCGTTGGAGATTAACTTCATTTGGTAAAATATTCTCAGGAAGTTCGTTCCACATAAACGTGGTACTCCAAATGAAAGAGTTTTCAAACAGTTCGAGGTGTACTAAGTTGCACCTCAGAACAATGAGCAGCCACACTCCGTTGCGAATTTCTCATAGATACCGCTCTTGGTGGAATCAAATGTGCCAAGAAAGTATCTATAGAAGAGAGGCAAATCGCTAACCTTTCTTCGATGTTCCGGACTGTCAAGGTTGCAAATGATGTTCGTCTCTCCAATCAGGCGAATAGCTCTCTTCTTGATGGAATCCAGCAGCTGCAGGGTATGTTTAGGGGCGGAGCTCCATACATGAAAACAATACTCCAAAGAAGGTCTGATCTAAGCTTTATAAAGCAACACAAGTTGCTGAGGTGTGTACAGTTTTCTGATTTGGAACGGTATTCCAAGATTTTGAGAAGCAGTCTTCGCAATTCCAACGATATGATTGTGCCAAGACATATGTATCTATAGAGTAGGGACGGTGAGTGTAAGCCCACAGACTTAGGGCACATGTGACCCATTGTACATCTTCCTGAACAGTTGTCCTCCTAGGTCATCGTCCATCCTGTCCTTTCCAGGAAAATGGACAGGTCACTGGGAGACATATCCTTTATATCGGAACGTGTAGGCCAAGACTCGCCGAACACACACTCTCTTATTGACGATAACTCAGGGCACTCGCACAGGACAAGCCAGACAGTCTCATCTTCCTGTTAACACATCCTGCATAGAGGTGTGTCCACCAACCCCATATTATGGAAGTGTTTCCTTAGTTGACAGTGGGTGTAACATTTGACTAGTTCCGCAATTGTCGAAGTCATTAGGCCGTAGGTGCCACTGGGTCCTGAAATTATTAGTCCAGCCGCTTCCTTGGCTAAAGAGCCGGCAATACGATTACCTTCACTCCTGTCGTGCCCTTTAATCCACCTCAGGATAATGTTAGTATCTACCGAGGCTTTGGCTAAATCTTGGTGACACTCTAGTACTAGCCCTGAGATTATAAGTTGTCTTTTCAAGGCTAATAGGGCTTGTCTGTTGTCAGTGCAGATTGTTATGTTTTTGCCAGAAATTCCTTTCCTGGTTATTTCGTTCGTGGCGATTGAGATACCAGCCAGTTCTGTTTGGACCACTCTGGTATTTCTTTCCATTCCCCACTCAATTCTTAGGCTTAGTGATCTGGAGTACACTCCACGCCCCGAGCCTTCTTTGGTTTTTGAGCCGTCTGTATGAATCCGTATTGCATTGGTAGCATGTTCTGCTTAATTTGTATTTTGTAGGGTTTATTAAACACAAACCTGGGTTCAATTGCATCGCTTGTTGCCTGCAGCAGAGGTTTCGCAGTAAGCGCTTCCAGCCACAGGCCCAGCCTCAATTGACCCATTTCTACTTCGAGGTTTACACCAGCCGTGCGCAATCGTACCATGGCCATTAACGTAACCTCCTTAACGTACAGATCAAGAGGGGGCAGACCCGTGATTAATTCCGTTGCCGCGGTTGGTGTTGTTCTCATGGCCACCGTGATGTTTAAACAAGCCATTCGCTGTATTTGGTATAATTTTTGGATGGCCGTTGCTTGTAGAACTTTCGGTCTCCATGCAATGGCTCCATACGTTAACATAGGCCTTATTATTGCAGTGTAGATCCAGGTGACCACACGGGGTGAAAGACCCCATGCGTGGCCCACTGTCCTCTGACATTGCTCATAAGCCACGTATGCTCTTTTTGCTCTACTCTGTAGATAAGAGTTCCATGTTAGCTTCCTGTCGAGGATAGTACCATGGTATTTTACCCCTTCAGAGAAGTTTAGTTTGCTTTTGAAGATTTCGGTAGGTTTTGGGCCCGTTAAACTTCTTTTCCTGGTGAAAAGGACCATCTCAGTCTTCTTGGGATTGATCGACAGTGAGTGTTCCTCACACCATGTTTCTGTTAATTTGAGCCCCTCCTGCGCTCTATCGCACATTGTGTTTACAAATTTGCCGCTCTGCAAGATAGCTATGTCATCTGCGTATGCACTTGTGTAGAATCCATTTTTGTAAAGGTGATTAATCAGGGTATCCAGAACTATGTTCCAGAGAAGGGGTGATAAAACCCCTCCCTGTGGACAAGACATATTGGTGTCCATTTCAACACCCAACAATCTTATCGAAGCAGAAAGTGAAATTATCTGTCCTGACATTGTTATATCCGGTTTGGACATGAAAAACCGATGCCTGTTTTTTGTGCCATTGAATTGAACCTGGTTATTTTCACACCAATTCGAAATAACTTCTAGATCCTCATTAAGATATGCAACCTCCTGCTGTGAAGATGTGCTTCCGCAGTCGATGTCCTGGAATCCGAATGGAATGACGAGACAAGTGTACTATCGTCAGCAGAACATTATATTGGATTCTTGGTTTTCTCTAGTGAATCGTTGATATACAAATAAAAGAGGGCTTGAGACAATATGGCTTCCCGGGGAACACCACCGTTGATGGTAGAAGTATTCGACAGATATCCACCGACGGTCAATGATTTATAATTCTGCTTGGGTCGTTTCGCCTATATGTGATCAGAACTGCGTTAATTTTATGGGATTCCTATTTCAGTAAAACATTTCCTTGTTAATTGTTGTAGATAATGATCAGTTAATGGAAAAAATATAACTCAAATATCATGTCTTACCTCCATCGCCAATGAGTCGCATTTGAACCAAGGCGGGGTCTTCATTGTGTTCTTCCAAAACAGTATCATCTGTTAGTGTCAGGTCCTGAAAAAGAAAAAAAAACGAATTACAGTGGAGGATATTCAAATTTTATAAAATATGAAGATGTCTTCGACTTTTGGGAAAGAAAGGTACACGCTTCTTCTCCCAAAAATCAAGTCCTCCTGACGTAAAGTTGTAATGTTATACTACAAGATGGGAAACGGTTAGATTTTTTTCTAGCTACTTGACATACAGAAACTTTTTGCATACTATAGGGTCTTACAATAGGGACTTCTGACCTTTGACAGTTGATAACGGCCATCTTGTTGAAGCTACATCTGTTGAATTAGTTGTCATTTATTCAATCTGTTTTGCTGAATCACCATAAACGGAGATAGCATTTAACAACACGGGTTCATAATTTTTTTTAGGGCAAAACACAATCACTACAGGGAAATTTATAAGGCGCTCTCAGAAAGGTGCCTGTGCGAAAGTAGCAATTCACATTGGATTTGAATCGCTGGAGAATATTCTCAGGAAGTTTAATTCACATAAACGCAGTTCTCCAGATGAAAGATTTCTTAGTGTAATCAAATGTGCCAAGTCACTTGAACACCTTCCGTGAAAGTATCTCTAGAACAGAGATTCATCTCCAACCTAGCTTCGATGTTCCAGGCTATCAAGGTTGCACGTGATGTTCGCGTCTCCAATCAGGAGAATGGCTCTTTTCTGGATGGAATTTAGCAACTGCAGGGTATTTTTGGGGGCATACATGAGAACAATACTCCAAAGAAGGCCTGATCTGAATAAAGCATCAAAAGTTGGTGAAGTGTGTACAGTTTTCTGGAAAAGTATTCGGAACAGTTTTTGAGAAGCAGCCTTTGCGATTCCAGCGACATGATTGTGCCAAGACGCATTGGTGTCCAGTTTAACCCCCAACAAAGCGAAGCAGAAAGCGGAATTGTGACGTGACATTATTATATCCGGTTCGGAGACATTTGGNAAAGTTACTTCTTTGCATGATCTACACATTCATGTATAGAGTTTCAAATTGATTACTTCCTTCCTTTCTTTGGAAGATTCTCTCATCCCTTTTTTTGTATCAGATGGAGTAGTAGAAAGTAGAAAGTAGTAGAAAGCCATGTACGCGGTTGATTGTAGTATTGTCGATTGAATAATCGTACATTAAAGTTCACTTTTTTGTTGTAAATGATATCATTTTACATTTGGATACGTTCAGTTGTAGACGAATATAATTACACCAAAGTTTAATTACATCTAATTCATGTTGTACACGCTGACAGTCAGTAATGTCGATTTTATACTACAGTTTCAGGTCGTCTGCAAATAGTGGCTAGGAATATTCAAAGAGGTTGCCAAGTCATTGATAAAAATAAAAGAGGTCCAAGATTAGAACCTTGTGGTACCCCAGATGTAACTACGTACTGAGCCGATTTGAAAGATTCATATTCGACGAATTATTTTCTGTTAACTAGATATGATTCAATTGGAGTAAGCAGTTGGTTACAGAGACCCAATTTTGTCAATTTGCTGAGAAGAACATAATGGTCTATTTGATCTACGGCTTTTCGAAAGTCTAAATAAACAACTGCACTTATAGTTGCTGACACTCCTGCCTCTACCGCTCTCTTTCTCCTTTTGGCCTCGGCGCCGCAAATGCGCTTACGCCTTGGCCTTTGTATTACATCACGAGATGATCTGCCATCTCCAGCCTCATTCCTAGCGGTAAATTGGGGTGGACATTTCTGTTCAGCAAACCTGTGCCTCACATCCCAAACAGCCCGACAAACAGACGTACCACCCAATTTACGCTTGGGAGTAGGCAGATTGAGATCTGTCTGCAAACAGATCGCCAGGATACAGCACCAGACAGATAAAGGATGCAATCGAAATAAGAGAAGATCGGCAGTCTTAACAATAGAGATGACGCCAAACATACACACCGTCAACCAATCAATCCACGCCACAACTACAGCCTTCGGCATAAGAAAAGAAAAAATATTAATTTGATGTTGAACTTGGTTGACTTGTTTTTGCTTGCCTGGGTTTTTCTGGCATTGAATTGAACCTGATTACTTCCACCCTAATTTGAAATCACTTCTAGATCCTCATTAAGATATCCAACCTCCTGCTGCCGGCGAAGATGTGTCTCCGTAGCCGATGTCCTGGAATCCAAAGGAATATTGGATTCTTGTTTTTTCCAATAAGTCGTTGATATACAATAAAAAGAGGGTTGAAGGCGATATGGATCCCTGGGGAACACCAGTGTTAATGGTGAAAGTATTCGAGAGATATCCATCGACGGCCACTCTCAGGGAACGTTCTTTCAGAAAGCTGAAGAGCCATACACGAAAGTGATACGACAAGCCATAGCATCAAAGTTTGGCCAGCAAATCTTCATGCCACACACCGTCAAAGGTCTTAGAAATATCAAGCGCAACAGCTCTTGATTCTCCATGTTTCTCGATTGCGTTATTCCAAATATGGGTGACATACGATAGAAGGTGGTCGCCTGTTGATCTTTGTTTCCGAAAGCCACATTGATGATCGCTCAAGATGTTGAAGCCTTCCAAATATTTGAGGATATAGTGGTTCACGACTTTCTTCATGATTTTTGATATCACTGATAGCAAAGAGAAATTGTTCCATCAAATGGGGTGTTTGTTCAGGCAATGTGGTGGTTGAATTTGAGACCACTGGTTCGGTAATCGATCGACTAACACCCGTACGTCGACGAAACGCTAGATCTGCCGAAAACATCGCCGCTGTCTGTGAGAGCATGCAGGAGAATCCTAGACAGTCGATTTCGCGTCACTCGCCCAATAGTCTATAACAAATCCAATCAATAAACGAATTTGATTGATTGGTAGAATTTCAAAACTGAATTCTCCTATAGTGTTGAGGATTATTTTATTATTCTTCACATGGTACCGCATAATGCGTTTATATCTTTGTGTTGAAAAATAAAAAAATATGATGATCACCAAGTGATTCCATATAACTTTGATAACTTCTTCTTTGCAATTCTCTTTCACCCGACCTCATTCGACCAACGATGTAGCAAAACAAATAATAAAAGTGAAAACATCGACGACGAAGTAGTCTGCCGGGCAGTTTATTTCCGTAGGTTCAAAATCCAGACCGAGAAGTATTTATGTTTGTTTGAGCTGCCCACATGAATAATGTTTGTAAATTATTCTGGCCCGAGTCCACGACTTTTTTATTTGCCAGTTATAAAATGTTCGGAATTAATTGAGTTGACGCCAAATCCCACCCAGCCATTTAAAAACGAGAAAAAAAAACACTTCGTAATTTCATACATTGTTTCGGATTGCATTCGTTCATGACTAATTTTAACGATGCGGTAAATACGAAACAATCGGGAAGTTTAACGTACCGGAAAAAATTGGTGTGTGATGAAGAAGTTACTGATTGCAGGAAATCGAGAAGTAAATTTATCAACGATAATAACGAGGTATCATCAGTTTTGCAAAAACAAGCAGTAAAGTACAAATCACACTAACAACATACAGAAATCATTTCTGATTTTACTCAGAGATAGACTTCTTCACAACTTATTTAGCTCTAGCTACATTTCCAGTAAATATGTCTTCAATCTCGTGCAAATNTCGCCATTCATAATAAATCCAGGCAGACTTGCCCGACCCGTAATTATGCAGTTGAATCCACTCATTTGCATATAATTCGCTATACCGCCAACCGCCACCCAGACAAACTGTTGAAATTTCCGTGATTACCACCGCAATAATTCAACTTCCAACAAACTTCCCGAAGAATATACAAACAATACGTAAAGCTAACGTAATTCCCACAACCCCAAGGAAATAACCCCGGTGCCCGCCGCTGGCTCCCCGTGCGCCTCCAACCGCCCAACTATCTCCATTAAACAAAGTTTGATAACACAAATTCGCCTCAAACAAAGTTTTTCAATGCAAACTTTCCTAATGAATTCAACTCGAACTCCCCGGTAGTTGTAAAACAGAATTTATATCTATCTCCCGTCTCTGTCGCTTCAACTTTCTTGTTGTGAAATGTTCGCTTATTTTTTTCTCGTACTCCCTTATAAATTTTGTAATTATGAGACTTTCTTTTCACAGACTTCTTTTCGGAAGGAGACGATTCGTCTAGTTTATTCGAGATGAATGGAACTCGGAAGTGATGGGATTCTGAAGCAGTCGAGTGGATTTGTGGCGAATGAGAAGTTTAGGTTCTAGAGGAACATTTCAGATGTGTGTCAACTCGGTTGGCAATCGTGGAAAGTGATGTATTCAACACCAAGTTACTAAAGACTACAGACTACAAAAATTTTGTGGACCACATCTTACCCTATCAGACCAAATCAATATTTTTGAAGAATCAACGTCCATGTGCAAAATTCAAAATTCCCAAATCAATTCCGAACTTAAATGATTAAAGAAAAGATATCAGTAATTACAGAAACTTCCAGGAAGCTATCAACAATGGCTTGATGAACACGCATAGAGTTTTGATGAATAATGCAGTATATGGAAAGACAATGGGAAACTTGGATATAGAATTGATATTAGACTCATTACAAATAAAAAGAAAAAATATAAGAACTAATTGTTTGATAATTATTTGATATTTAGGTTAGCGCCTGTGACTGTCGGCAGTAACTGGAACCGGTTTCACTATACTGGACAACGTGATGATGCCACTAAATGTCGCCTGTAGATATCGAAAGTAGAAGTATCTAAAGTTGCCCAGATATGTTAAATATGAAATATGTCTGAAATATGTTAAAAAACTTATATTTATTATTAGCTTATCGCGCAATCTACGAAACATCAAGATAGGTGTTGATGAAATATTTAGCTTCCTCATAGATAAAATTCAATACAATTTACTCCAAGAATAGAATATACGTATATAAGTGTTCACTTTGTAACTTATATAAATGAACCGTAAGTTTTTCCCTTATTCAAAATGTGCGAAATTCGGCATTATACTAATTTTTTTACGATGGAAAGTTGAACTACTCCACAAAAATGACCAATAAC